TACGACCCAAGAAAGAAGTGCCAGGAGCAGCATGCGTCCTTTGGACCTGGAGTCCCTGTGCTGAGAATCTCCTAGACCGGGGAAGATTGATGACAAGAGCTTTCCCCCAGAGCTAACAGAGAGGGAATGCCTTCTTCTAGAGCTGGCGCCCTGAATTTGGGCTTCTAGCCTTCTAAACTGTCAGAGAATAAATTTCTGTTTGTTAAAGCCATCCACTTGTAGTATTTCTGTTATAGCAGCACTAGATAACTAAGACAGGATGATTCTGCCTCTTATGCAGAAGCAAAGAGATCAGTTAAACTTGTCTTGGAATTCAGGCAAGAAGTGATAGTGGCCAGGACTAGAGTGGGAGCAATGAAGATGTTGAGAAGTCATACTTTGGAATGTGTTTTTGGAGGTACAACCGGCAGGGCTTGTTGGTGGATTACAAGTAGGGCATGAGTGAAAGGGAAAGATCAGGTATGACTCCTTTGTTTTTGTTTGAGCAACTGTGATGACTCTGCAGTTACTGTTGTTGCTATCGAGTCGGCTCTGACTCATGATGACCTTATGTGTATCAGAATGAAATGTTGCCCAGACCTGTGCGATCTTCATGATCATTGGTATGTTTGAGTCCATTGTTGTGGCTATTGTATCAATCCGTCTCATTGAGGGTTTCCCTCATTTTCTCTGACCCTGTACTTTACCAACCATAATGTCCTTTTCTAGCGATTGGTTTTTCCTGATGACATGTCTAAAATAAGCGAGTGAAAGTCTCACCATCCTTGCTTCTGAGGAGCATTCTGGTTGTATTTCTTCCAAGACTTGATTTATTTGTTCTTCTTGCAGTGCACGGTATATTTAATATTTTTTATCAACACCATACTGCAGCCTACACCTCAACATATAGAAACAAAAGTCCTCACAATTGGACCAGCAAGCAACATCACGATAAATGGAGAAAAGATAGAAATTGTCAAGGATTTAATTTTACTTAGGTCCACAATCAATGCCCATGGAGGCAGCAGTAAAAAATTCAAGCGAAGTATTGCCTTGGGCAAATCTGCTGCAAAAGACCTCTTTAAAATGTTAAAAAGCAAAGATGTCGCTTTAAGGACTGAGGTGCACCTGACCCAAGCCATTGTATTTTCATCCACCTTATATGTATGCGAAAGCTGGACAATGAATAAGGAAGACCAAAGAAGAATTGATACTTTTGAATTATGATGTTGGTAAAGAATATTGAATATACCAGGGACTGCTAGAAGAATGAACAAATCTGTCTTGGAAGAAGTACAGCCAGATTGCTCCTTTGAAGTGAGGATGGTGAGACTTGGTCTCATGTACTTTGGACATGTTATCAGGAGGGACCAGTCCCTGGAGAAGGATGTCATGCTTGTTAAGGTAGAAGGTTAGCAAAAAAGAGGATGACCCTCAATGAGATGGACTAACACAATGGTTTCAAACATAGCAACGATTGTAAGGATGGCGCAGGACTGGGCAGTGTTTCCTTCTGTTGTACAGAGGGTTGCTGTGAGTGGGAACTAACTAGATGGCACCTAACACAACAATATCAGCACCATAAGTCAAACACATCCGTTCTTCTTCTGTCTTCCTGTTTCATTGTCCAGCTTTCGCATTCATAAGAGGTGATTGAAAATGCCATGGCTTGGGTTAGGTACACCTTATTCATCAATGTAGCATCTTTGCTTTTAAAAACTTTAAAGAGATTTTTTTGCAGCAGATTTGCCCAACGCAGTATGTCATTTTATTTCTTGACTGCTGCTTCCAAGGATGTTGATTGTTGATCCAAGTAGAATGAAATCATTGACAACTTCAGTTTCTTCTTCATTTATCATTTATTAGTCCACTATAATTATAGAAGGTAATATTTTGCAATTAATCGTACTTGCTAGTCTCTCTGTGTGTGTGTATGTGTATGTGTGTGTTTGCAACATGTGTGTGTTTGGCCTTTTCACAGAGTTTGTCAATTCTTTGAGAAGCTTACTGTTGACTCATCTATATGTGGTTGTGCTCTATGAAGACATTGTTAATCAGTTACCCTTTGACCTGGTATGCCTGTAGACAAGATTTGTTTGTCTGGCACAGTGTTTTAGGAAATTACATATATCAGGAGATTACGCATAGAAAGTCAGATTTACAGCTTCTTTTAAAAAACTAGAAGTTCTGCCAACAGTGGACCTGAATTCCTGCATGGCCTCACTTGGCTGGAACTGAGCTCTTACTCCCTCTTCAGCGTTTAGAGACGGCTAACATTCTCCTGGTCTGACTGTGGCCCATCACGTTTGCTTCACTGTTAGATTATTAAATGTAGGCATCTGTAACCCCTGTTCTCCAACAGACTCCTGCCATCTTCCCATGCATTGTGATAGCAGTTTGCTTCTGTGTTATGACACGGGGCTGCAGGTCTTGATGCTGGTCCTTCTGTTCACGGTGGTGGGGTTAGAACTGGCGTTGTTGTTTAGTTGCCATTGAGTTGGTTCCAACTCATGCACAACAGAATGAAAGTTTGCCCAGTCTTGCATCATCTTCATGATTGTTGTTGCGGCCACCGTGTATTTTGAGTACCTTCCAACCATCTTCCAGCAGTATATGAAACAATATTCTATTGTGATTCATAGGATTTTCACTGGCTCATTTTTGGAAATAGATTTCCAGACCTGTATTCCTAGTCTGTTGTCTTAGACTGCATTCTCTAGAGAAGCAAAACCAGTAAAGTGTGTGTGTGTGTGTATATATATATGTGTATACACACACACATATATATGTATATATATATATATCAAGGAAATGGCTCACGCAGTTGTAGAGGCTGGAACATCCCAAGTCTGTGGATCAGGATAGAGGCTTCTCCTGATTCATGTAGCTGCAGGAGCTGGCAAACCCAAGATCGGCAGGTTGGATAGCAGGGCACTTGCTCACAGGCTGTGAAGATGGATGAATCCCAAGTTTGGCAGATAAGCTGCTAGTTCAAGTCCCAAGAACTGGAGGCCAGACAAACAGCACCCAGCTGCAGAATCAGAGCAGGCAAAAGCCAGAACATCTGCTTATATTCGGATGCAGACCACACGCCCAAGGAAACTCCCTTTCAGCTAATTGGCTACTCACAGCAGATCCCATCATGGGGGTGATAACATATAAACACTGAGAATCATGGTCCAGCCAAGTTGACACACAGTCTTAACCATCACATCTGTCTTAGTCTGGAAGCTCTGTTGAAACCTATCTACCATGGGTGACCCTGCTGGTATTAAATACTGGTGACATAGCTTCCGGCATCATAGCAATACTCAAGCCACCACAGTGTGACAAATTGACAGATGGCTGGTGGATAACTGGCATTAGGAGAGTGGAAAGAAGTGCTGGGGAGAAGAGGATGAGAGGAGGGGACAACTGAAGCTGGTCACACTAGGATGGTAGCGTCTGTCATCTGTATTTATAACATGTTGCCTTTTTTTCTTTTTGAAAGTTAAATGTAACCCAAGGCTTATGTGCCCTCCAAGTCCAAGACTGTTCATTTGTACTATTTTGTGTTTATTGGAAAACTATGGAAACCCTCTCTTGTGAATGAGGAGGGTGACTTGAACTTGGCATTTCTGCAGGGCCAAGCACAAAGGAGGTATTCACCAAATATTTGTGCAATTGAATTATTAAACTGTATTCTCTCTGTCAGAAAAGTCTCTGCAAATAACATTTAAATATATAAATATAAGGTTAACTATGAAGATGAATCAGCTTTTAATTTTATTAAAAGATGACTTCTGACATTTCCAAACTGCTTATTAGAATGGATCCTGTGTTTTGAGCCTGTGATGCGAAAGTGTTAGGCATGCTTTAAAACTTGTCCTTGGAAAAAAGTTTTCATTTCGAATTAAATTTTATGTAGTATATCTCTTGTTGCACTCTTTGGGAAGTCATTAAATATGCTTCCCCTCTCCCTCAGTGAATAAATATTTTCTCCCCTGTATGTTGCAGGCCTGTGCCCTCATAATTCCAGTGGCAATATAGCATAGCCATTGTGAACATGGATTTGTTGCCAGATTTTGTGGTATCAGATCCTGATTTTGCCTCTCACTTGTCATCTCACCTAAAGGTCTCAGTTTTCTATCTGTAAAATAGAGATGAAGCCTTAAAATACTGTTATAAGGAAATAAATAATATATGTCAACAGTACATCTAAATCTCTGTAAGTATCTTAAAGTATTCTTGGCATATAGTAAGTGCTTGCTGTTACTATGCCTAAGAACCTTTCGTGTTTTCTACTGCCTGTTTTTATATTGCCTGTGAGCTAAATGGTTTTTACATTTTAAAACGGTTGAAAAAAAATCAAAAGAAGCATAATATTTCCTGACTTGTGAAAATTATGTGAAATTCAAATTTCAGTGTCCACAAATAAAGTATTATAGGAACACGGCTATGCTCATTCATTGATTTATTGTCTGTGGGTGTATTATCTGTGGGTGCTTTCACGTTTCAACGACAGAGTTGTATAGTTGCAACAGAGACCGTCTGACCCACAAAGCCTAAACACTTGACTGCCTGACACTTTACACTAGCAGTTTGCCGGCCCCTACACAAAACACTTAATCACCATACTTGTAGAACCTTTGGTACTCTCCAGGGTTCTAGGTGCAACTTGCTCCGTGATATAGGCTGCTTCTTCCCATTCATAGATCGGGCATTCCTAAATTGCATTAGTCAGGAATATGCAGTATTTTGTAGTGATTGGCCATGTGTGTGTTGAGTGTGGGTGTGTGTTTTGTATGTAAGATTTTGGAGCCAAGTGCAGTGGTTACCCTTGTATGAGTGATTGACTTCTCGAAGGGCAGAACTGTGTCTCACTCATCTTTATATTCAGCAAAATATTCCACAGAGGGCCTTTCTCATACTTGTTGTCCAGTAAACAAATGAATAAACTAGATTAAAGAGAGAGAGAAAAGCAGTGTTTCATTCATAAAATGAAATCTCTTAAATGTCCCACTTTACCATTGAGCACAAGTGGAGCTTAGGGATGGATCCTGTGAGTTTGCTGCTAAATTTCGTCTTGTCTCATGGGTATGCCCAGACACAAGGTATGCTATTGCAGCGTGTGCCAGCTGTTTTTGAGTAAGATATGTCCCCACAGGTCATCATGTTACTGAATTTGGGATTTGAAAGCTCTTTCTCTCTTGCACTGAAACTAATTTGTACTCGTGTTCAGAGCCTGCTTTTACGTTCCTGCCTGTGATGAACGGAGTACTTTTTTGTCTTATCAGCCCTTCCAGATATTGTTGACATTTTTTTTTTTTTTACTTATTACTTTTAGCATGTTAAAAACAATCACACCAAAAAAAGTATGCAGATAAAAAATGTCATAGATGACATAAGAAAATAGTGTGTATGTGGGTATATATATATGTATAAATCTACAGTATTTACCACTGTTGATATATATATTTTGGAGCAGCTCAGATGCTGCTATCATAAACTAAATTGTACAGCTTGGTTTATTACAAATCACAGAATCATGGTTTTAAAAATTAGAATAATATCCTCAGCTACAATTTTATATACATTTATTTCTATGCTTCCACATGATCTAAATCAAGAGCCCAGTGATATTATCAGGATTTTGAGCTTCAGTGTAGTGCTTAGCTGCTAATACACTGCATTTGTTTTGCCATTTAATCACATCATTACCAAGTTGATTAAAATTACATTAGACTCATTATATACATAAAAAATAGTCACATTCACTAGCTAAACAAATGTTACTTTCATTTTAAAAGACAAACTTTTGTACCTTGAAAGTTTAAAGCCCCAACTTATAACAAGAGCCATTGCTGTTAGGTTTTCTACTCTCTATTACTCAAATATGAGCAACGTAATGCTGAAGGTAAGCTCTCCAATTAAATGCAAAGCCACACTTTCTTGAACAGCCCCAAATTTTGTCAAAGTTGCAGTAATTGTAGTGTCATAGAATATTTTTAAAGATATTTTAAATTTTATACCATGAACTTGCTTTTTTTGTTTTTTTTTACTGAACGAGAAAAACAGGGTTTTCACAAAGTATGAAAGTCATACTATTTTTTCTTAAAAACCAAAATCTTAGATTCCTATTAATAATTAGGTGGGATCATTTTTTACAGTTTTACACAATGATAACTTAATGGCCCAATAGTGCAGCAACATCCATTAACTACATTCTTTAAAGAAAGAGTGCCAGAAAAAGATGGTGTAAATGACCACCCTGGGGCCCTCTGTGGTGAAGCCCTGTGAGAATTTAAGGGACAGAAGAAGTATTAATCCTGATTTCGAAATAATTTTAAAGGAGTTCATTCTGCTGCCCCTTGTGAGGGCTTGAAGATCAGTAAGTTGCAACTTCTCCTGCTGACATTTGCTGGAGAGCTGTATTGCAGCATTTCCTCTGGATCTGGCAAGGAATATTCTGCTCTGAGCTTTTCAAGAGGCAGACCAGAACAAAGTGTGCGAAAGCACTAAAACTGATCTCAGTGCAAATGGATACAATGAGAGCTGCGCCCTTGACCATAAACTTACTTCAACTGCCCCAATTTTTAAGCACCATTAAGTGGTTAGCCTTTCCCTTCAATGTCTTTAATTTTCATATTGAAAGAAAATGGCAGCAACTGAAGGAGACTGATGACCGTTCTGTGAGATGTTGAATTAATAAAGCCAGGGAAATCTCTTTAGTCAGTTTTAGGGCCTGGGTTAAAAAGATGAGGGGGAAAAATGACTAAAAGACAAGCTAAGGAAAGCAAGAAAAGCAAATTATTCCACGGATCTAGATTAAAAGTAGTCATTTTAACATTTCCTTAGTTCTGTGTTCAAATGTGTATGCACAGATGCCTACAATTATCTATTAAAGGACACATATGCTCCATGTAGCCTTAAAAATATCTATTCTACGCGGTTTTTTGGTGCTTTGTAACATTACTCAAAATAGAATGGGCCAATAGAGTAAAAACGGTCAGGTTTTGGAGAAAGATATAAATGAAACTGCGTAATGAATTATCACTGTGTGTGCATCCCTAAATGCTATTGCTATGCTTCCATGTTAAACTCCGTTTGATAGGTTCAGTGATGATGCAATTTAAAACGCTCACCTTAAGCAGCATCTACATGGGATGAAAATATTTCCATATATTATTATTACTAACATACTTGAGAATTGTGCTAGTTGTTTACAATCGTATAAAATACTGCTTTGGCAATTATAAACACAGCAATGTAGGTTTCGTATGGTTTCTGTTCTAGTGTCTTTAGCAAGTATAGATAAAATTCTCACAGCAATACTGATTCTTGAATAGACAGTCCATCCCGATTTCTGTAGTGATATGCTGGAGGCGAGGGCCCTGAATATTGAAACGGAGATGGATTGGCATCTTCTAAAGCTGGCGAAGTTCTATACCGCACAGGGCTATCCACTGAAACCGCTGGGAGGTTATGGTCCTGAAAGGTTACGTGTTGAAAGGCTGAATATTTTGATAAATTGCTTAAGTGTCTGCGGTTAGCATCTTGATGCCATGATTGTTCCTGTATCTCAGGTCTGTATGTGTAGCTAACTTCTGACCATTTTCTGTTATCTGGCAAATAATCCACGGGAGGAATGATAAATTTTCCATTCTTTGGTGACCTTGAATATCCCCCAGCACCAATATCAACAGGAAGAACTTCTATTCGACTAGATGGGAGTACAAGAGGAGCTGGGCGGCTGTAGGATTTCTCTGGAGAAGTATCTATAGAGAGAGTAGAACCATAAGGTCTCCTAGAAGGATTAATTTGAGTCCCATGGCTAACCTGGGGAGACACGGTGCTGCTGTTAGCAGTAGGCAAGTGTTTTGGAGAATTTCCATGGTAAATCGGGGGATTACTATAGGATGGTGGATGTACTGTCTCATGATCTTCTCCATCTAACTGAGGTGGATATCTTCCGTAACTTGGAGGCTGTACTTTAAAAGTAAAATTGTTTGATACTTTTGGTGGAATCGAACGTGACTCAGCATACTTTCTTGGACTGTTAGAATGAACAAGATTCCTTGGACTTTGAGAGTAAGCCCTTTCTAGTGCCTCTTCAACAGAAGCTCCATTTTCATTTTCAGCTCCAGGTACATTGTCATACTGTGATGCATTGGAGCCACGTTTCCCTTCATCAGCATCCAAAACCTTAATCTTTTGCCTTACATTTGATATTCGGGTATCAGTAGAACTTGGGATGGTAAGTGTAGGGTTTGCTAATCTACTTTTGCCTTCAATGGCGTATTTGGCAGTTTTTTCAACAGCTGAAATATCTGAAGGTTTATTCCATTTGGGCACAAATTCCTTTCTGATCTTTGAAGTAGCATTGCTATTATGATTAGCAGCTGCATTAATATATTGCTTAGAATTGTCATGGGGAACTGATGGAAGTTTTCCTTCAAAATCTGCCTCACTTTTTAGCTTTTTAATATCCTCATCCACAGATTTCCGCCTTGGCTGCCTTACTCTTTCTGGTGTGCCAATTCTACTTTGATGGCGAGGGGAATGCTCATGTTTTTTGTGAGGAGATGTGCCACCTTCTCTTCTGCTGCCTGTACAGGGACTTGACTTGCCAACACTTCTTTGTTCATTGCTCAGGTGATTAACACCAGCAGACTGATTTTCAGGTGGAAGTTGCCCCAAAGGTTTCTTGGGATATTCATCCTCTTTACGAGGTTCTGGAAGATCTAATTTCGCTCGTTTTAGTTCTGCCATAGAAATCTGAAGTTGCTCTATTACAAAATCATCTTCAAAGAAAAAATTCTTTGCCAGGGTCTCTTGAAGAAATTCTACAAGTTCTTCCATAGACAATTTCATTAGATGTTTTTTGTGTAATTTTAAGATTGTATAAGACATAGCAGTAAGAACTCAATCTCCTTCAAAAATGTAAATATCCCATATTCTTAGGTTTAGTGTAAATGGAGTACGATCAAGAAAACACTGAAAAAACCATTTCATTGTGTAAAAACTCGTGTAGATTTCTTGAGAATCCAAGTGTTGCTTAAGCTTGGACAGAAATTTATTCAGTATTTTTTCATGGTGTTCTTGGAACCTCAAGAGTTTAGGAAAACCTTGAACAAAAAAGCCATGCATGGCATGTTTGGGACCTGAGAATAGTTTGACCAGGGCCCAGAAGGCATCTTCTTCATTCATATACATAAGGAGTAAAGCTGTGATCTGGCTCATTCCCTGACAGTATCCAACTTCCGTATTATAAATAGAATATGCAGCAAGAACATGGAATAAGGATTGTTGCTTAACACCATATCTGTCTCTAAACATAATATGGTCCCTAAATGTGCGGTTGACATCAAGGTCAATTTGTCTGATATCAGGTGAACAACCTCGTGCTCTGTGTTTTAATTTACTATAAAGATCTCTTGTTTCTTCTTTCATTTTAGGGATCTCAAGAAGTAAAGCCCAGACTTCACCTCTCCGCTGGAGTGGAATTCCTTTGTAAATTCTTCTATGAAACTTCTCAGCGTTCTTGTATTTTTCCCATCCTTTTAGCATTTTCAGCCATTTAGTAGTTCTTTCAATTTCCAGGGCCTTTTGCTAGTAAGTGGTAGAAGAGGGATTCAAAGCTAGGCAGCCTGGCTCCAGGGCCTGCACTCTTAGCCACCACACTGGACTGACTCAAGCAGGTATTATGTTGGCAGATGGCATATGCCCACCATCAATATTTTTAGGTCCGTTCCACATCTGCATTATGGTATGGGAGCTCCTCCTCATGTAAAAAGCCAAATCTATCCGTGACTTTGTAAACAAGGTAATCAGCATCTTCCCAAGGTTCAATCTCTGCACCTTCTCGTCCTCTGTCATATTTAGCAACTATTTCAGCTCGTTCCTGGGCAAGTTTGAGTGCTACATCCTGGTCTGAATTCATGACTGGAAATGTCTCTGTATGTTGTCCGAATCAGATATTAAACCAAAATTTGCTGTCCAAGGTTTCTCAGAGGAATACATGTCCTCAGGACTGTCCCGTCGGTGGAAGATATGGGGAGTGGGCAGAGGGGAGTCCCGGGCCGTCGAGCAGGTCCCGGCGCGGCTGCGCTGCGCGGCGGCGGCTGCTGCTACCGCAGTGCCCTCCGCCCCATTGTTTCTCTTCCAAGAGGATCCCCTATTGTTGACATTTTATGGCATTTTTCTGACAGCAGAAAACACTAAAGTTGTGAGATGAATGATAATATTTACCATTTATTGAATATCTGCCATCCTAGTTTTTAACACATGAACAAGTAGACAAAGAAAGGTTAAGTAACTTGCACAGAGTTGTATGGCTAGTAAAAGGTTTCTTGTCTACGATAATTGATGGACCTTCATGATGATTTGTAATATGGACAAATATTTTTTTTGTTTTATATTATGATCTTTTATTTTGGAAAAGGATAGTGAAGGGTTGTATGCTACTCTGATGTTATGTATGCATATAATTATTATATATGAAACGAGGCAGTGGTAATCCAGTGGTAGAATTCTTGCCTTCCATGCGGGAGAACCGGGTTTAATTCCTGACCAGTGCACCTCAAGCGCAGCCACCACTCATCTGTCAGTGGAGGCTTACGTGTTGCTATGATGCTGAACAGATTTCAGTGGAGCTTCCAGACTAAGATGGATTAGGAAGAAAGGCCTGGCAATTGACTTCTTAAAAAATCAGTCAGGAAAATCCTATGGATCACAACAGTCCATGGGTTACCATGAGTTGAGGGGCTGACTGGAAGGTAACTAACAACCACAGCAACACCTATACCTCTCGGTCTCTGTTTCCTAAGATCCTGTCTGTGTCTCGATAGCCTCATTTTTTTTCCCTCCCATAAACTTGACTTACATTTTTGTGTCGTCTCTATGTCTAAGACCAGGGTTGTTCAGCTCTTCTTGAAAGGGAATCTGGTTATTTGGTGGCACATTGGCTGAACTGTATTTTGGTTGGTTGGGGGAGGAGGAGGAGGATCAAAGGTAGCTAGGTGGTAAGGGGTGGTAAGGGGCACTTTGGCCCTTTGTTTTTACCGATAGTGAGTAGGAAGTCTTTAAAATGTGGGAAATTTCCCCTTGCTCTGCTTTCTGAAGTTCTGCATCTGGAATGTGTCTCCTGCTTCATGTAAAACTGTTACTGTGATTGAGATAATCTGTGTGTCCCTGACACCATCACTGCTCATGAAAATGGCAGCTGGGAATAGAAAAGCACCTCTGTTTCGGATTCAAATAAGTTCCAGTTTACTCTTTACTGGGAGCCCTAGCAGCACAGCAGTTAAAGCAGTTGACTGCTAACCAAAAGATCAGCAGTTTGAAATCACCAGCAGCTCTGCAGGAGAAAGATATGGCACTCTGCTTCTGTAGAAAGTTACAGCCTTGAAAACCCTGGGGGTCGCTATGAGTCGGAATCCACTAGACGGCAGTGGGTTTGGTTTTTTTGGTTTCTCTTTACTGATTCTGTGGTGAAAACTTTACCACGCTTTCTTTCATTTGTAGCGTATGAACCACAGAAAAGGTACATGGTATAAATCATTAGTTGACAAAACATTATACTTAATTAAAAACAGGTAAGAAATCAGAAAAAGGGATAATGCAAGGTTTTAGGAAACTTCTGGATGACTTCCTCCCTCTTTTCTATTTCAAGCTCAGAATAAAATTTTGTTTTATATGGTATATGTATGAGCCCTGGTGGCCCAGTGGTTAAGAGCTTGGCTGCTAACCCAAAGGTCGGCAGTTCAAATCCACCAGCGGCTCCTTGGAAACCCTGGGGCAGTTCTGCTCATTCCTGTAGGGTCGCTATGAGTTGTAATTGACGAAAACAGGTTTATATGTATTAATCTGTGTAGTTTTCACAGTAATGTTGTTGTTAGCTGCCTTTGAGTGGACCCCAACTCATGGCAACCCCATATGTTACAGAGTAGAACTGTTCCATAGGGTTTTCTTGGCTGTAATATTTACGGATATAATTTGCCAGGCCTCTTATCCGAGGAGCCACTGGGTAGGTTTAAACCGCCAACCTTTAGGTTAGTAGCTAATTGCAGACCATTCGCACTGATTATTACATTGTGCATTATCGTTTTCAGGACATTTTCACATAATATATTATTTCTATCTTCACTGTAAAGTATGATTTAGAAAGAGGTTGTGTGGTTGATCTAGGTTCGCCAGCTAGTTAGTGGTTGACCTGGTTTTAAAGCAGGCTTCCTGTTTCTCTGTGCGGTGAATTGCCTTGTTGCACAGAATCTTATCATCATACATGGAGACAAGGATCTGCCAAACTGAATGGAGTGGAATTTTCTGGTATCTAATGCCAGAGTATTTTCATCAGTGGAGGATGATGCTATTCCTTAGTCAGGGACAAGAATTTAGGAATTTTATAAACCTTGTGGAGCCCTGGTGGTGTAGTAGTTAAGAGCTGTTCCTGCTAATCAAAAGGTCAGCAGTTCGAATCCACCAGTGGCTCCTTGGAAACCCTGTGGGTCAGTTCTACTTTCATGTAGGGTCGCTATGAGTTGGAATCAACTCGATGGCAATAGATTTTTTCTTTTTTTTTTTGGGGGGGTGTAAGCCTTGTAAGGAGTCCTAGGGGTACAGTGGTTAAGCATTTGGCTGCTGACTGAAAGGTTAGCAGTTCAAATGCACCAGCTGCTCTGCAGGAGAAAGACGTGGAAGTCTGCTTTCACAAAGATTAAAAACCCGTTGCTGTCGAGTCAATTCCGACTCATAGCGACCCTAGAAGACAGAGCAGATCTGCCCCATAGAGCTTCCAAGGAGGAGCTGGTGGATTCGAACTGCCAGCCTTTTGGTTAGCAGACATAGCTCTTAACCACTGCAAAATTATAGCCTTGGAAACCCTATGAGTTGGTTCTACTCTGTCCCAGAGGGCTGCTATGAGTCAGAATCGACTGGACGGCAATGAGTTTGATTTTGTTTTTTATAAGCCTTGTCAGTCAGAATACTGGACTTGTACTGGATGAACGGAGTACTTTTTTGTCTTATCAGCCCTTCCAGATATTGTTGACATTTGAATCACATGAATCACATGAATCACAGAGCCAAAAGTATCTTAATCGTTAAGAAATAAATGGCTAGAAATCATGAACTTAGCACCTGAGAGGTGAACTTGATGACAAAATTACCTGCCCTGTAATGGTAATTCTGAGAGACACTGTCATACCGTAAAGTGCAGTGATGGGATAGAACCAGCGACTGTGTGCTCCTTTATACATTTTTAATGCATCTCTTTATCATTTCTTTCTCAGGAATACATACCATTGTGAAGGCAATTAAATTAACCATAGCTTTTTTTTGCTCCCATTCTAAGAAATAATGCAAAGTATACTTTTCAGGTTAAAAAAAAATGTTACAAGATTTCAAAATTCTCTGTACTTGTTCTTTCTATACAAGGAAAGCTTGAATAGTCTACAGATCATTCAGGACTTTTTAACAGGAAAAATAAAACCACCTGTTTATTTGCCAATTATATTTGGAATTTTTGCTGCTGAAGTAACCCATATTTTACCTTTTCTTTTATAGAGTGGAAAGCCGCCTATCAGTGATATGTTCACAGACCTCAAAGATGGAAGGAAGCTATTGGATCTTCTAGAAGGCCTCACAGGAACATCACTGGTGAGAGGCATCATCTTTAAGAACTAGGCCAGCAGATTGTTACTGGTCGTTACCGATACTTACCCACTACGGATACTCAAAATATGAGAGCGAAATAGGAAAATTGAAAAGATATATTTTAACCAGTTCTTTGATAGAGCAATATTTAGGCTTTCTTGAGGGCTCTATTTTAATCAAAGATAAAATTAACCTTAAATCTTCATTTCTCTGAGATAGCCCAGGCTGAGAAAGAAAAAGAAGAATGAATATGTAGAAACATGCATAAAGTTTTGAACAGTAGAGAGTATAGAGACAAACACATTTAAGCGTTGTTTAACAAATATTTAAAAAACTGTTTAAAACTATGGCATTTATTTTTATTCAGGTTTTCAGTATTATCTTTATGTTTGTTTCTTCATCAAATTCAACCCTATGACTTTATGTGTAAGGTATTTTATATTCACACTGAAATACCTCCAGAGACTGAATTAATGTACAAGGCAGATGGATTCCTTTCTTGCCAGAGTGTGGGTGTTATACTCTCCCGTTTGTTTTCCAGATGGTGGGTAGGCACCTGTTGGAGAAATTGATCCCTTTCTCAGATAGGATTCCCTGGCCAGTGAGGCAGAAAGAAGCTGCCCATATCACCTTTCCCAAGGTGGCAATTCCTGCCTTCCCTACGGGCTCTTGTAGCACACCTGGAACTTGTCACAGCACCTCCCTGCTATGTCCACACTAGTGTAGTATGAGGGTGACACACTTTTCCTAAATCTTCCTGCATCTAGACCAATTTAGATAAAAGAAGCTGTGTTCTTAAACCAGTGGTTCCCAAACTTGTCTGCACATTAGAATCATCAGAAATCCTTAAAAAATTGCAAAGCCTAGACCACAACCCATACCATTTAAGTCAGTCTTTAGGGGGTGGGGCAGAATATAGGCACTGGCATTTTTGAAGTTCCCTAGGAGATTCCAGTGTTACCAAAAAACCAGACCAGCTGCTGTGGAGTTCATTCTGACTCATGTTTAGCCCACGTGTTTCAGTGTTTTCATGGGTGTGGCCTTTTGGTAGAGGTGCCTCAGGGTGGGTTTAAACTGCCAACCTTTCAGTTAGTAGCAGAACACTTAACTCTTTGCGCCACCGAGTGACTTTAGGCAAGATAGAGAACCACTATCTTCAGATGTTCTTAGTTGGGGAATTTGTGAACATCAACCTCCAGGGTCGCCGGAGAAATCGGAGTTCCTGGCACAGCGGGGTACTGCCCTCTGAGCTTGCTGTTACATATGCATCTCGGTGTCAGTGTTTATCAGGCACGTGAAGGGAAAATCTGTTCTATTTATTTTTGTGTCTTATTTTTCCAGCCAAAGGAACGTGGCTCCACAAGGGTGCATGCTTTAAATAATGTCAACAGAGTGCTGCAGGTTTTACATCAGAACAATGTAAGTTTGTGAATGTGCCTTTTGGGGTTCTGCTACATCGTGGACGTTATTTTGATACCAGCCACTTGCTCTGTGCACTGGCATCAAGTGATTCTTAGAAACATTTCTCATATGTATGGAACCTTTTCTATGAGTGAAAGAATACATAGTCATGTGCTTTTTCTGATTACTTTATTGATCTATTGTATAAATAATATATTTCCAAGATTAAATTTTACCTTAATTCTCTAAAATGAAGTATCTCTTATCATTCACTTATACTGCTGACTCAGCCTGCTAAAATGAAGATCTGGTCTTCTGTGGAAAGATTGTCTTAAAAGGTATTTTTTCATTCTAATAGGTGGATTTAGTAAATATAGGAGGAACTGACATCGTAGATGGAAATCACAAACTGACTTTGGGATTACTTTGGAGCATCATTTTACACTGGCAGGTGGGGACATTTTGAGTCACTTTTTATTAGAAGTTGAAAATATATCATCTGGAATGGAAAAGGCTGACAAACTGCTCTGTTTTCCTGGCATAGGAAGAAAGTATCTACTTTTTAAAAAAATATTACATTTAAAACAATTGACATAATTTCAGGTGTATTCAAAAGTTACAAGAATAATGCAGAGAATTCCCAGACCCTTCACTTTGATTCCCCAAATGTTAACAGTTCTCTATATTTCTCTGTCTCTGCTTAAATACTTCAGTGTGCATTCCCTAAAACTAAGGAATTCTCCTAAAAACAAGGAATTTTCATATATAACCACAATAAAACTTTAATATAAAATATATCCTAATATATAATGGTATATATTCTAATTAATTATTAGATAAAGTGATAATTACTATTTTATATAATGATAAGATAAAATATATAGCTTTCAAAGTCAGGAAAATAATGCTGAAACAATACAATTATGTAATCTACAGCTATTATGGAGATATTGTCAGTTGTCCCATAATAGCCTTCATACCAAATCCAAAAACCAAACCCATTGCCTTCGAGTCAATTCCAACTCGCAGCGACCCTATATCCTTCATAGCAAAAGAAAATCCATAATCATGCATTGCATTTGTTTATCTTGTCTCTTTAATCTGGAACAGTTTCTGAGTCTCTTTTTGTATTTCATGATAATGACGTTTTTGAAGAGACCAGTTAACCGAAGGCTAGTTATTTTGTAGAATGTCCTCAGTGTGGGTTTGGCTGATGTTTCCCCAGGGTTAGGTTCAGACTGTTCATTTTCAGCAGGGATTCCGCAGAAGTGATGTTGTGTTCTTCTCAGTGTGTCATATCAGGAGGCATGTCTGTCCATAGTTCTGTTTCTAACAGTGTTAGCTTTTAGCATTTGGTGAAGGTGGTATCAGCCAGGTTTACCAGTGACTACCTTTTGTTATTAAACACTATCTTGTGGGGATATACTTTGAGATTGTGTAAATAGAACATAAGGAAGACCTCTCCCTTGTCTCTTGTTTATCTGTCTCATCTCTCCATCTATCTATCCGTCTGTCCGTCCATCCATGCATCTGTATATATCATTGTAGACTTACTCAATAGATTATAATCTTTTGCTATCATTATTTACTTTGATGCTCAAATTATCCTAGATTTGGCCAGTAGGAGCCCCTTTAAGGTGGCCCCTGTGGTTTTTTTTCTTTCTATACATACATCATTCTTTGAGTACTTCCTTAAAACATGTGTGCCACTTTGGAATATTATTTAAAATATGTTAGTTGTAGATGATAACCGTTACTGCCATCTGAAAGTTACTTCATTCTTTGATTTTGTTGTCGGTCAAAATTTGTTTCTTCTTTTTTTTTATGACTTTGTGTTACTTCACCTATCTTTTTAAAAAAATTTTTTTTTAATTGTACTTTAGATGAAGGTTTACAGAACAAGCTAGCTTCACATTAAACAGTTAGTACACATTTGTTTTATGACATTGGTTACCAGCCCCACAACATGTCAATACTCTTCTTCTCGACCTTGGGTTCCCTATCACCAGCTTTCCTGTCCCCTCCTGCCTGCTAGTCTTGCTCCTGTGCTGGTGGGCCCCTTTAGTCTCATTTTGTTTTGTGGGCCTGTCTAATCTTTGTCTTCTTCCACATTTTTGTAGAAAGTAAAAATTGGGTTCTTTTCCTATTAAACAGTCTTTTAAATGCATAGTATTAAAATGTTTCCTTTTTGTGATAACATAGGTAATACGCATTATAACCAAAAATAATACAAGTGTTTTTTCAACTGTAGAAAATATAGTAGTGCATAAAGATAGGTAAAATCACCTCTAAATCCTAGTTTCCCAAAATAACCACTAAAAAAAAATTATCTTTCTAGTTTTTAAGGGAAAATATAGAAATAGAATGAGTGCCAATTACCTGATCCATAATGGTTAATTAATGTAATATTCTTTATTCAAGGACCTGATTCAAGTAACTTTATTAAGTTATTAGGCTGACATGGTTTCTCTTAAATAGGTAAAAGATGTCATGAAGGATATCATGTCAGACCTGCAGCAGACAAACAGTGAGAAGATCCTGCTGAGCTGGGTGCGCCAGTCCACCAGGCCATATGGTCAGGTCAACGTCCTTAATTTCACCACAAGCTGGACAGACGGACTCGCCTTTAATGCTGTGCTCCACCGACACAAGTGAGCCATTTTATTCTACTTAGAAGTAGGTGTTACAAATTTGTGTCTCCTCTCTGTCCCTCCTCCATTTCTCCTCCCTGAAGCCACTTCCCAGTCACTACCACTCCCATCTCTGCAAATGCTCTGCCAGAATAGTAGTTCAAGTTTTTATTTCCAAGAACCTTAGAATGGATTACCTGTTGCTTTCATCTTTGTAAGTTACTTTTAAATATCATATATTTGACAAGGCTTTGGGTTATAACTTAAAAGATGAACCTTTTCTTTAACTTACAAGTAAAAAAAAATCTAAATAGTAAAATATATTAATTATAACAATGACTACTTTTTTCCCACATGTTTTATCCTCATTGCATCTTATTTTCCTGGTGATATCAGACCTGACCTCTTCAGCTGGGATAGAGTTGTTAAAATGTCCCCAACTCAGAGACTTGAACATGCCTTCAGCAAGGCTCAGACTTATTTGGGAATTGAAAAGCTGTTAGATCCTGAAGGTATTGCTCAATATTTAATCACAACGTGTTTTCTTTATAATTTTGAATACTTGAAAAGTGGTGTCTTTTTTTCTTTCCTTTTTAAAATGAATTATGAGAATGGAGGAATGTTTTTCCTTTGAAGTATATGTGGAAGCCATTTTATTGCATTTAAGTTATTAGTGTCTGTTATATGTAGCAATCTGTAGGATTCTTTAGGGAGAGATTTAATTATATTATTGGAGAATAGTTAATCTTTATTAGAGTAAGATTTAAAGTTTTAGAAAAGTACAGTTATTAGATAAACAATTCAATATTTGGTTTAGTTCATCAAATTGAATTTTTGTGTGAGTTTATTGCCTATGTTATGAACACTAGTTGCAAATGTTGCAGGGCTGAATACTACACTTATTTTCATGGTTTGGATAAAGTCTGTCATTATCTTAAATGGTAACATATGTTAGCTTATCTTTGAGCATTTTGGGGTAGCTTTTAGGGTACCAAAATACTCTGCTTTGCCTTGTCTCATATATTGTTATATAAAATAGAAATTTACTGAGCCATGGTACTACAAAGAATATATATTAAGTATTGTTTATGGGTACTAAGGAGAGTTATTTTATATCTAATATTGATCAATTCACATATTTTGGACATCTAATTTAAACTGGTTCTTATTTCCTTCTCCTTTTAGATGTTGCTGTTCAGCTTCCTGACAAGAAATCCATAATTATGTATTTAACATCTTTGTTTGAGGTGCTACCTCAGCAAGTTACTATAGATGATATTCGTGAAGTAGAAACACTTCCAAGGAAATACAAGAAAGAATGTGAAGAAGGAGAAATTAATATTCAAGTAAGTTTTCATGAATTTTTATTAAAATGTTCGACTTGTCATACTATTTAATAGCTAGGTAAAAACCCTTTTAGGTAGATAAAATCTCTTTTAGAGTGTTTTTACTTTGAATGAGAACATCTTAGTTTCTCAGCTTACGTTAGTATAAGAAGTTTGGTTTATCCATTAGCATGCCTTGACATGGAGTAATAGAAAACTGTGACTTGACTGACTTAAGAAGAAAAATATATAATTTCATACAACAACAAAAGTGGAGTTAGGGTCTAAAGCTATTGCTCTTTCTTTGGTTAACCTGGAAATACTGACAAGAGAGAGCAAGGGCTCTGGAGTCAGGTAGACTTGTGCTCAGCAATTTTAGGAAAGATGGTTAGAAGTGATCTGTGTTTCCCTCATTTTCGAGACTGACCATTATATCTCCTACAGTGAAACATCTAGAGAGATAGATAAAAGTAAAGACTTCCCAGCAATCATGGTTACCTAACGTTACAGTGGATGGCCCAGAGAGGCTCCCTGTCACTTGTGATATGCAAGAACATGGAGGAATGGCTGTGGGAGAGAGGGCTCGAACATTGTCGGACAATGTTAGTGCTTCCAGACACTTGCATTTCACAGACCAATGACAATATATAAATAATAATTATTCCCAGCACAGACATTTAAAAATATCTTGAATAAAACACAATGAATAACTTTGGCTTAACATGTATCTTCCTATATTATCCTTATTTCTGTGGAATGGAGAAGAATTCATCACAGACAAGCTAGATACTACTGCTTGATTACCTATACTAGATGACCTTTAAACTTCCTTCCATTTCTAAGAGCATTTGATTGCCCTTAACTTATACAGTTTATAATTGTATCAAAATAGGAACTGAGATTAGGGGCCATGGGTTTACACTGTTACTGTTGTTAGGTGTCAACTCATAGTGACCCCATGTACAACAAAACAAAACTGCCCAGTCCTGTACTATCCTTACAATTGCTGTTATGCTTGAGCCCATTGTTGCAGACACTGCATCAGTTCATCTTGTTGAGGGTCTTCTTCATTTTCACCGACTCTCTAGTTTACCAAGCATGATGTCCTTCACCAGGGACTGGTCCCTCCTGATAACGTGTCCAAAGTACGTGAGACAAAATCCCTCCATCCTCGCTTCCAAGGAGCAGTCCGGCTGTACTTCTTCCAAGACAGATTTGTTGGTTCTTCTAGCAGTCCATGGTATATTCAGTATTCTTTGCCAATACCACAATTCAAAGGCATTAATTCTTCTTCAGTCTTCCTTATTCGTTGTCTAGCTTTTACATGCATATAAGGTGATTGAAAACGCTATGGCTTGGATCAGGCACACCTTAGTTCTCAAGTGACATCTTTGCTTTTTAACACTTTAAAGAGGCCTTTTGCAGCAGATTTGCCCAAATGCAATACGTTGTTTAAACTTTTGACTGTTGCTTCCATTTACATTGATTGTGAATCCAAAAAAATGAAATCTTTGACAACTTCAGTCTTTTCTCTGTTTATCATGATGTTGCTTATTGGTCCAGTTGTGAGGATTTTTGTTTTCTTTATGCTGAGATGGAATCCATACTGAAGGCTGTAGTCTGCTCTTCGTCAGTAAGTGCTCAAGTGCTCTTCACTTTCAGTAAGCGCCGTTGTGTCATCTGCATATCGCGTGTTGCTAATGAGTCTTCTTACAATCCTGATGCCCCAGTCTTGTTCCTGTAGTCCAGCTTCTCAGAAGAGGTGCTCAGCATACAGATCAAATAAGTACGGTGAAAGGATACAACCCTGATGCATACCTTTCTTGACTTTAAACCATGCATGTTGTTTTCGAACGACTCCCTCTTGGTCTGTGTACAGGTTCCTCATGAGCACAATTAAGTGTTCTGGGATTCCTATTCTTCAAAATGTTATTCATAATTTGTTATGATCCGCATAGTGGAATTCCTTTGCATAGTCTATAAAACACAAGTAAACATCTTTCTGGTCTTCTCTGCTTTCAACCGAGATCCATCTGACATCAGCAATGATATCCCTTGTTCCATGTCCTCTTCTGAATCTGGCTTGAATTTCTGGTAGTTCTTGTTGATGTACTGCCGCAGTTTCCTTTGACTGATTTTCAGCATGATTTTACTTGTCTGTGATATTAATGGTATTGTTTGACAGTTTCCTGCATTCTATTGAATCACCCTTCTTTGGAATGGGCACATATATGGATCTCTTCCAGTCAGTTGGCTTGGAAGCTGTCCTCCAAATTTCTTGGCACAGATGAGTGAGCACCTCCAGTGCTGCATCTATTCATTGAAACATCTCCACTGATATTCTGTCAATTCCCGGAGCCTTGGTTTTCGCCAGTGCCTTCAGTGCAGCATGGACTTCTTCCTTCAGTACCCTTGGTTCTTGACCATATGCTACCTCCTGAAATGGTTCAATGTCGACCAACTCTGCAATGACTGTGTGTATTTCTTCCATCTTCTTTTGATGCTTCCTGCATCATTCAATATTTTCCCCATAGAATCCTTCAATATTGTAACTTGAGGCTTGAGTTTTTTCCTTCAGTTTTTTCAGCTTGAAAAATACTGAGTATGTTCTCCCCTTTTGGTTTCTCAACTCCAAGTCTTTGCATATTTCATTATAATACTTTACTTTGTCTTCTCGAGCCGCCTTTTGAAATCATCTGTTCAGCTCTTTTACTTCATCATTTCTTCCTTTCGCTTTAGCAACTGTAGGTTCAAGAGCAAGTTTCAGTGTCTTTTCTTTCTTTCCTGTCTTTTTAATGACCTCTTGCTTTCTTCGTGTATGATATCCTTGACATCATTCCACAACTCATCTGATCTTCAGTCATTAGTGTTCAATGAGTCAAATCTGTCCTTGAGATGGTCTCTAAATTCAGGTGGGATATACTCAAGGTCATATTTTGGCTCTCATGGGCTTGCTCTAATTTTCTTCAGCTTCAACTTGAACTTGTATATGAGCAGTTGATGGTCTGTTCCACAGTCAGCCACTGGCCATGTTCTGACTGATGATATTAAGCTTCTCCATTGTCTCTTTCCACAGATGTAGTCTATTTGATTCCTGTGTATTCCATCTGGTGAGGTCCACATGCATAGTTGCTATTTATGTTGTTGAAAAAAGGTATTTGCAATGAAGAAGTCGTTGGTCTTGCAGAATTCTATCATGCCATCTCCTGCATCGTTTCTATCACCAAGGCTATATTTTCCAACTACCAATCTTTGTGTTTCCAACTTTCGCATTCTAATCACCAGTAATTATCAATACATCTTGATTGCATGTTTGATTAATTTCAGACTGCAGAAGTTGGTAAAAATCTTCAGTTTCTTCATCTTTAGCCTTAGTGATTAGCGCATAAATTTGAGTAATAGTCGTATTAACTGGTCTTCCTTGTAGACATATAGATATCATCCTGTCACTGACAGTGTTGTACGTCAGAATAGGTGTTGAAATCTTCTTTTTGACAGCAAATGCAAGCCATCCTTCTTTAATTTGTCATTCCCAGTATAGTAGACCACATGATTTACTGATTCAAAATGGCCAATACCAGTCCATTTCAGCTCACTAAAGCCTAGGATATTGATCTTTATGTGTTACATTTCATTTTGACGACTTCCAATTTTCCTAGAGCTTTACTTCGTACTTTCCACGTTCTAGTTATTAATGGATGTTTGCAACTATTTTTTCTCATTTTGAGTTGTGCTACCTCATCAAATTAAGGTCCTGAAAACGTGACTCTATCCATGTCATTAAGGTCGACTCTACTCTGAATAAGCAGCTCTTCCCCAGTTATATTTTGAATACCTTCCAACCTGAGGGGCTCATTTCCAGCACTATTGTCAGACAATGTTCCACTGCTATTCATAAGATTTTCACTGGCCATTTTTTTCAGAAGTAGACCACTAGACCCTTTTTCCTAGTCTGTCTTATTCTAGACGCTCCACTGAAACCTGTCTATTAAAGGTGACCCTGCTTGTATTTGAAATACCGGTGGCAGAGCTTCCAGTTTCACAGCAATACGTAAGCCACCACAGGACAACAGACTGACAGAGGCATGGTGGGTATTCCAGAAGTGCACATGCTTAATTTGATCTTTCATTACCATAAAGGTTCTGCTGTTCAGCTTGAGATAAGCCTCATCGTAGGCTATCACTGCAACATGTACATGTTACATGGTAGTGCTGAGTAACAGCTAGTTGCAGACCCTGCAGCATGTATCCTTCCCCTCTCCCAATACCATTGCCTCCCAGGGGCTTGATATTTATGCTGTGTTGGTGCTCTTGACATTTGTTTTGGTATCACGGCCAGGAAAGCATCCTTCTAGTTAATTAGAAACCCCAAAATATGTAAAAAACCAAAAGCAGTACCACTTTTAGATTCTGGTCTTGGTTGGGACATGCAGAAGTTGGGGAGTAGGCTGAGTTAGGGGCAGGTGAGAATTGGTTTTACGGTCCTTTCTTCAGGTAGAACTTTAACTGATATCTCTTATCCTTGGTGGTGGTAGTGATGTTGTATGTGCTGTCAAGTTGATTGACTCATAGCAACCCCATGTGACAGAGTAGAACTGCCGTATAGGGTTTCCTAGGCTGTAATTGTCACAGCAACAGATGGCCATGTCTTTTCTACTGTGGAGCTGCTGGTGAGTTCAAACTGCTGACTTTTCAGTTAGCAGCCGAGTTCTTAACCACTGTGCTACCAGCCAGTGGTGTGCTGGCAAACCAGCTCTCCAAAAAAACCAAAAACAAGCCAAAAAACAAAGCAAAACCCAAAATCTGATTTGTATTGTTTGCTGGTTTTCTTGGTATAGGTACTCTCACCATGGTCAATTTTAGGCTATCAAAGATTGTGGTACCCAAAATTCCCAAATATTTGACTTGGGTATAGGAGCCAGCTGCAGTACGGCTGGGTGGGGAAAAACAGAAAAGTTGAAGTGGGCAGTTGACCAGGTCCTATAGCCTGGTCATGAATTCTTCACCATATTATTATTATT